TACTTAGAAAGACGGAGACTGAAAGCGGACATAAAATAGAACTCTGATTGAGCAAAAATGTCTTAAAAATGTAGTGAACTTTAATGATGAACTAATTTGAAAATGAAGTGCCATTTTTTCCACTAACTCACATTTAGATATTGTTTTGTATATTTGTGGATGGAGTTTGGTAACTCCATTGATGCTTATGAAAGATGCTTCTGCTGTTGCAGTTAAAATGTCAACATGTAGAGTACACAAATATTTGCTAATACATTTTTTGCAGATAATGTTCTATGTGTTTCTTCTTCTGCATTGCTGCTGCAGTGGCCATCAAAGCATTGCTGCACCACATATCACCTCCCAATTCTATTTTTTAATATCTGCTAAGACATCTGAATTAGAGAGTATCAAACTCTTTTTCATTTTGGGCCATCTGAATATTATGAATGTCTTCAAAAGGCCAATTATGACATAATGTATTGATAAAACTATTCATTAACAAACCTCTAAACGCTGTTCCTGCATTCGATTAGTACTTCTTATATTTAGGTAATATTAAACCTTTTCTTCACATTGTTATAATTTGGCAGTATACAGATAGAAACTGTTTTAATTTGATTAATAAAATATTATCACAACTGATATCTTGACAATTTTATTTATCTACATGATAAAGGGACGCATAAAAAGTTGCGGTCCTGTAACACTGGATTTGGTCCCTGGGCCTTGAGTTTGAAACATGTGTGTCACAGTAATAAGATTGGTGAAAGAGGTCCATAAAGGTTGGATTCCTGAATTATAAAGCCCTGGGGAGAACAACTGACACTGCTTTGCATTCAAACCAAACTTCCAGATCTCTAACCTGTATAAGATTTTAATAGATGTAGCAATAGGTAAAAAGATTTAGCGATGCTCTGCAACAGCCTCCTAAACAGCATGTCTTTCATAGTTAGATTAAACTTTACTCAATCTTCCTTTCTCTGTTACACTTGATTAAAATAAAATAACTGCTGTAGGTAATTAATTGAAATAAAAATAATTTAGGAAAACACAATGTTTTGGAATTTGGTTCAGACTCCCAAATGCCATAGTTACAATTCAGGCTATTTTATTATAACGCATCAACATAGAAAATAAATAAATAAAAGGTTTTTGTTTTTTTTTTGGCGTAGAATAAACAAAGACAAAACAACTGCCTGCTGGCCAATCACAGCTCACTGGGAGCCCAGGAGCTGTCAGGGTAAAAAGCAAATATTTTAGACAAAAGTAAACGGTTTTCTTTACATCCTGTTGTAAAATCCTTTTGATTCAACCAGCAAAAATAGAATGACAGTTCTATAGACATATATGTTGAGCTTTTCTTTCTTTTTTTTTTTTATTTAGACAGACTGACACGGAAGTGTTGATGCATTAATCTGCTGACCTGCTTGTTAGCGACTTTCACTCCCACTTGAAATCTGATCTTTTCATTTATCCAGCAAGATGTGTGTGATACGACAATTTCATTAAAATGCTGTGTGAAAATAAGCAACGTCTAACAAAAACAATCATCTTGAATATTCAATAGGAATTTCAACGCATTTATCTATGGACATGGCAGGAATTCATTTTGAATCGAGGTAACATCTAATTTCTCTAATTATGAAACAAATAAACTGAAATAATAACTACCTCTGTGATAAAAAAGAATACGACTCTGTGTTGGAGACACACCGAGTGGACCCGACTTCTCTCTTAAGAGAATGCGACCAAAGAAGAATCTGTTAAAACAAATCATTACTACTACTACTACTACTACTACTACTACTACTACTACTACTACTACTACTACTACTACTACTACTAATAATAATAATAATAATAATAATAATAATAATAATAATAATAATAATAATAATAATAATAATAATAATGTAAAATAGAAATATTTTTACAATTGTTTCTATTTGTTTTCAAATTGAAAACAAAGAAACAGTAAAAAGGGGAGTGAATCTACGCCATCTAAAGATTCATCATTACATAAAATATTCCAAGAACGGGAATTTTAAAATGAGTTTGGCTCTAAAAAAACCGCTTGTGAGATATTGCGTCAAAAGTAAAGACTTCCATATTTAAGGTGAAGGACGTTAAATGTGTTTTATTTCAAAGCAAAATAGACGGGCCATGAAGACGGAAATATGTAATGATAAACACAAAATCAATTAAAAATGTAATCTGAACACAAACATGAGCAATGAATAAACACAACCGTATTTTTGTCGATGTGTAATTTGACATTTCGCTCTAGTTCGTCCACTCGCTGTGGATCGTTAAAATTCAACACTGAATATAAATGCAGACCAATTTTTACCTGACTCGTTGGAGAACATGTATGATGACAGAAAGATGGCGGGAGGTCTGAGCCTGCAGAGAGCATATCCGGTGTCGAGGTGTGAACTGGACCAGTGAGAGGGACGGAAACGACAACAAAAGTAACAAAGAGATCAATAGGCTGTTTTTCTGTGATTCAACATCTCTTTGGTTAAATTTTAACTTATTTTTTCCAAGACGGAAGTGTTGGATCCGGGTTCCCTGAGCAGTTCCTGGACTGGAAAGGGTCAAATGTAGGTCAGTGGAGAAATAAAACTTCTTACTTATCTGTAACCTTAGACACCAATTAGGAAAGCTTTTGATAGATAGATAGATAGATAGATAGATAGATAGATAGATAGATAGATAGATAGATAGATAGATAGATAGATAGATAGATAGATAGATAGATAGATAGATAGATAGATAGATAGATAGATAGATAGATAGATAGATAGATAGATAGATAGATAGATAGATAGATAGATAGATAGATAGATAGATGATAGATAGATAGATAGATAGATAGATAGATAGATAGATAGATAGATAGATAGATAGATAGATAGATAGATAGATAGATAGATAGATAGATAGATAGAGATAGATAGATAGATAGATAGATAGATAGATAGATAGATAGATAGATAGATAGATAGATAGATAGATAGATAGATAGATAGATAGATAGATAGATAGATAGATAGATAGATAGATAGATAGATAGATAGATAGATAGATAGATAGATAGATAGATAGATAGATAGATAGATAGATAGATAGATAGATAGATAGATAGATAGATAGATAGATAGATAGATAGATAGATAGATAGATAGATAGATAGATAGATAGATAGATAGATAGATAGATAGATAGATAGATAGATAGATAGATAGATAGATAGATAGATAGATAGATAGATAGATAGATAGATAGATAGATAGATAGATAGATAGATAGATAGATACCTCCTTCTTTTTTATTTATTTGCTTTATTTATATTTATTTATATTTTGGTGAATGTTAAGGATCCAACTGTATTTATTCATGCAATAAATGCTTTTGAATTTGGGGTTGTTGGAGTGAAAATACATAAATACAATGAAATCTGCAAATAAACAGAAAAGTTATTTGCGTATTCCTCATTGCGCACCGTGGATCAGACAATGTCTGACCAACTGACAGCCAAATCTCCATTGTGAAAAAACATCGCGGCGAAGTCAGTAATCAGAGGTTGTTAAATTTTTACAAAATATTGTCAAGGAGATCAGACTTATGTAAATAATAAACAAGGATGAAGTAGAGTGGTAATGAAATCTTAATCTGGCAGCGTTGGACAGGACCGTTTTAGAATAAAGTTGTCTGAATCGGATTTATTTTAATTGAATGTAATTGTTTTATCTTTGGAAATTAATTGTTATATGTTTATCTGTTGGGGGATGCGCAGTGACGCAGCTGGTATCGCTGTTCCCTTAAATCAAGAAAGTTCTGGGTTCGATTTTTCGTCCCTGGAGACTGCATGTGACTTGAATTTGTGCAGCATAACTGAATAATAAAAATCGGGGTTTTGAGCTTTAATTATAAAAACAAATTTTAAAAAATCCCTCAATAATCGGCTATTGTGGTGGGTTATGGGTTAGTTTTGAAAATCAAACAGAAAATCACGTATTTTGTAAATGCAGCATAGCGTGGCGTCACCCAGCTGCAGGTGTGCAGGCCGTTAAAACGTCGACGTTTGCCGCAATGCGAATATGCTCTGTAGGCCAACAGCCTTTTCTTTCAGTCTGCTGTCAAACGACGACACCACCTCTCTTCTTTATGAACGAATTCCGTGAATTTTAGTACCAATAACTTGCATTTAGCTTGTGGCTTAAAGAATTGAACAGAATGTTCAATTGGCAAAATTATATATGCATATAAATAAGTGGGTATTTGAGGAACTAGTAAAAGTCAATGTTCTTAAATAATTTTCAGCTTGACTTTTGTAGGGACCAGAGAATGAAACTTCTTAAATGTGTTTTCTGTTGTTGTTGTTGTTTTAGCTAAATTATTTGAATGAAAGAAAATATTTATGGTATTTTCCAAAAAAGTATTCACATCATCACCGCATAAATCTGCTCTGGTGCAAAAGCAATGGTGGTCTTGCAAACAATTCATATGTTTTTCTTGCATTTTAAAAGACGCGCTCTGTGCGCGTTATCAACAAAGGAAGGTCGAACAATCTACCACCAAAAATGATCCATGTTCACGGCAGAGTTTGCATTCAACAGCGGGCCGAATGTGTTGAGATTTAACGTTCAATCCTCTTTCAGTTCATTCTCACGGAATTTTGAACCTTTTGACTGTGTTTGGTACGAACTACAAAAGCCAAATACAGCTGGTAGGAACACGTCTGGAGCTATTAAAAGAAAATCCGAAGAGCAAAATAGAAACGCCAGTTCATTTCCTTTGTTTGTCAGCTGTGAGCTCGTCTTTGAAGAGGCAGAGGAAGAAAATGGCCGCTGAGAGAATGAGTGAAAGACGAAAAGCAGCTCCCCTCCAGCAGGACTCCATGAAGAAATGCAATAAATTCCTTGTTGTTTTATGAAAATTTACAACTTTGTGATACAAGTTTATGAGTGGCCGTGCATGGGGATTGGACGGCGAGCTGGTCATGTGGACGCGCTTAACGTGAACATGAACTTTTTATGATTTCCCAAGTGGCTATAATGCTGCAGCGCTGCTCTCCGGCCCGAACAGCCGCCCTCTCCTCCCCTGCTTCGGCCGAACCTTGTAAGCAACCGAGCGAACCTCATCCAGCGGACAAATATATCTAAGCGCTCATATCGAACCGAACTGCTTATTCACAACAGTGATCGTGACTGCAGAGCAGAGAGGATCAGAGACTGACAACAATCCGCCTTCCTCCTCCTTCTCTTCTTCCTCCATGGCTCCGCTCTCCGGCGTCTCTGGACTGACGGTCTGAAGAGAGGACAGCAGAGTCCATCCCTGGAGACGCCAACCGGAGGCTGAATCGGTTTTTTTGTTTTTTTATTATTTGTTTGTTTCTTTGAATTTGACATTACTCCTGATGATTAGCAGTAGAATCGGGGCGATGATAGCAGATGACAGGAGTGTTTTCATGTCTCGACGTCCCCTCGGTGACATCAGAGGATCTGCGATCCCACCTCTCCTTCGCCCTCACCTCCGCTTCCTCACAGACCGGGTAAGATGCTGTCTCCTGTCCCTCCAGCCAGCCGCCTCGAAGGGTTGCAGGTGAGTTCCACTTATCGACGCAGAGGGAAGGCGCATTGTTCCCGCAGTTCTTAAAGAAACAACGTGACAATAAAAAGAAAACTGTGAGACTGAACTTTGTGGAAACCGTCCTAATCCCGGGTGATGGGTAAAAGTTCGGATGAGCCGCAAGTGAATCGCTTCCGTGTTGGATTAGGCTTTGTGGTTGTTTCCCCAGATGAAATTGTTTCTTCTAAATGATGGGATTAGGTGTGGAGAGGCCATATACTGATGGAAACGCAACGGTTTGGATTCCGGGCGTGTTCGTGAGAAACTAATGCTGGCTTTGATGTTAGAACAGGTGCTGCGGATTTGACACTTCAGAACTGTTAAATCAGACGACAGGAGATGGGTTAGACTGTTCATCTGCGTCTGTGTGTGTCAGAATGTGGCCGGACCTAATCGGGACTGTCTCTCTGCTTTAGCTTCTTTATCTGCACTTTGAAACTTTTTCACGGCAGGGAAAAGAAAATAACTTCCAGCTTCTTTCAGGCGTTGCGTTTCACATCCTGCGTGTGTCTGTGTGTCCGCGAGCGAGCGTATCTCTGTGTGTGTGTGTGTGTGTGTGTGTGTGTGTGTGGTGTGTGTGTGTGTGTGTGTGTGTGTGTGTGTGTGCGTGTGTGTGTGTGTGTGTGTGTGCGTGTGCGTGTGCGTGTGTGTGTGTGTGTGTGATTACAGGAATGCTGCTCTGTCCGTTCGAGCACTTTTATGACGGTTTCCCCACTCATTTCCTCCTGTGGGTGGCCGGTGTGTTTTCTGTAGCTTCTGTGGTCAGAATACCCCCATCATCCCGAGTCACCTTCCCTCCCTCATTCACGAACAAACCTGCTCCTCCGTCTCTCTGCTTTCCGCTATGCTGCCATCTCAGATCCCAACACCTTCTCCAAAGGAACAAATATTCATTTATTAAACCAGTCAAAACAACACGGTGTTTAGAAATGAGCTCAATCATATAACAGCAACGAAACAGAGCACATTTTCTAAATACAGGGTGAGCAAACTGAATTGTTTCTATTATTTATTCTAAACTTATTTTATAATGTTTCACAAATGGGAGGCACAATACATTCAGCATCATTAAGGTAAGCGGAAAGGTTTTCGTGTTTTGGTTTGGGAGAAATAATTTCCCTTCTTTCTAGAAAAGCATGAAAAACACAGTTACCTCTGTCCTTTTCAAATATGATGAATAAAAAGATGAGGCATCTTTAACATGATTACTCATGATGACAGAATACAGCTTTCTTTCTCTTTCCTCTTTTCTCTTTTTCTTCGTGCGTGTGGTGGGGAAAATGTTCTTTTTGCAATTTAGTCTTATAATTCCTTAATATACCTGCAGAATTTGTTTTACTGTCAAACAGAAGCGTGACGCTGTTGTAGACAGACAGACAGACAGACAGACAGACAGACAGACAGACAGACAACCAGTCTGCCTTGATAAGTGAAGCTGTTCTGACGAAAAGCTCTGGCGCCATCTAGCGTCTCATTGAAACTATCATATATAGTCACATACAGACTCTTTGTTCACACTGAGAGGTAAAATATCTGCCTTGCGAGAATATATTAGTTTGTGGTTTCCATGTCCTTTTTTTTACTGTTGATTGTTGTGTTTGACTTCAATGTTAACAAAACAGACTTGCTGGGCAGACAGACTGACTCTTACTCGTTTAAATAAATATGCTCCCACGTCTTACGATAAAGCATGTGTTGATTGCTTAGGTCCATTCGGTCGAAAAGAGAAATATACTGAGACTTTGGATATAGCAGCAGCGTGTTAATCGATTCAGCATTTTTGAATCCAGAGTAAGTTCTCAGAATCTGCTCTTTCCGTCAATACTGACAGAACAGTCCCACGTACAGTTTAATTGCACGTTAATGAACACGAATAAGAAAAATGTTCTACAAGGCGTTCACAGATGAGCGCGTGCGTCTGTGTGTCCTCACACACAGAGGAACACTTATATCTTTGTGGGGCCTGTTTCTGTCTACGATGTGGGGACAAGGGTTCCTTGGTCCCCGTCAGGGGAAATGATGTTTTGGGTTTGGAGTTAGGCTTAGGACTAAGGTGGAATGTGACTTTTGGGCAGGTTTGGGTATCTGATGATTTGGGTAAGAGGTAAGCTGTAGGAAATGAATGGAAATTAATATAAAGTCCTCACAAGACACGAAAACACGACTGTGTTTGTTTGTGTGCGTGAATGTGTGTGTGTGTGTGTGTGTGTGTGTGTGTGTGTGTGTGTGTGTGTGTGTGTGTGTGTGTGTGTGTGTGGTGTGTGTGTGTGTGTGTGTTGAAACTTCTTTTTATGTAGAATTCCAAATTTCAACCGATTATTATTATTATTATTATTATTATTATTATTATTATTATTATTATTATTATTATTATTATTATTATTATTATTATTATTATATGTTTTTAGATTTATTTGTTTGTTTTTTTAGATGAAACAAAAAAGCTTGCAGAGCAGCATTCATCCCAAGTTAACATTTAACCCTGGGTTCCTTGAGGCTGGAGGGCTGCTCCGGTTGCTGACTGTCTGGTGAAGTGATCCGGAGCAGGAGTTCACGGTGATGCAGATGAGGCGCTCAGCCGCTTGTCGCTGCCTGGAAACAATTTATACATTAAGACAAAAAAAGCGCAAGTAAGGCCGTTTCTGTGAGTTTGTCATTAACTCACGCAGGAGAGGTCAGTTAGAGGAGGCTCTAACACACACACACACCTGCACACACGCACACAACACACACCTCTTTAATGAAGTGTATTGATCCTTCGTTCAGCACTGTGGAATCTTGTTGTGTGTTGGCCACGATAAAAAAGAAGACAATCTTGGTATCTCTTCTTTATTTTCACAAAGGTTGGTTTCAGTTAGTTTTTTTCTCCTTTAATCTTAAGATTTAAGTAAACGAGTTAATTTCTTTTAAAAATGTATAAATAGACACATAATTGGACGGAACAATATGAGATATTGTGGAAGATATATTGTGGAAAACATCTCTAGAGGGAGAGAAGAGCTGCAGCTGATATGAAGCAATCTGTTCGGTGCATGCATTCCTCTGAACAGAACATTTATCCATCTGCTGCTTCCAGCGGCTCTGTTTTCACTTCGTCGCCATCTCTCGACTTTACAAGGAGTCATAAAGAGCAATAAAGCCATAAAATCTCCGATGTCTTGCGCGCGCACTAAACACACCCACGCACACACAAGGGAGAAAAGAAGAGCAATAAAGCCATAAAATAGAGGTCCGACTCTTTTAGCTTTAATTGTCACTGATCTCTGAAGTTTCTCACATTCCTGGGCTTCCTTCAGCGGCCCTCAGATGTTTACACTGAAGTTAACACAGACACACACGTCTGATTTACTGCGCAGAAATACAGCCAGCTTAACAAGTATATCCGTAGGAAAAGTTGAAACGTTTGGGCTTATTATCATCCTTGGAAGTCGTGGGAGTCCAGAGCAGACTGTCTCTAAATGTAGATCCACAAAGAGCAGCAGCTTCACGTTAGAGGCTAAATATTGACGGCTTCCCACACTGACAGCCTCCGAAGCGTTCACATGTGCGTAAACTCCCTGAATACTTTGATACATTTCAGAAAGTGCAAGCATGACAGCGTTACATGTTATGCGGAAATTCCACGCATATACAACAAACCCGCAAGCGTCTGGTACATCGAAAAGACTGTAAACACTTAAGCGTTTTTATTCTCATAATGTTGCAAACGTTCCAGTCTAAACCAAGGAAAGAAACAGCAACATGTTACTGCTGAACGTTTCTCAGGATGCATTTTAAGAGGATGTACGCAAGTAAATCGTCTGAGCCCCATCCACACCAAAACAACAACAACAACAACAACAACAACAACAACAACAACAACAACAATAATAATAATAATAATAATAATAATAATAATAATAATAATAATAATAATAATAATAATAAATACAGCTTGTTAACGTAAGATAATAGCAGTGATAAGCAAAATCTGAAAGCCATAATATTTTCATTTATTGTAGAGAAAAACCTGCTGGGCCACCAGTTAAACGGCTCTGCGTCGATCTGAAGGACCACGCTGTCTGTCTGACATGAACACGGCAGCACAATCAAAGTATTTCTAAACACTGGTACTGTATGTTCCCCGACCGCTGGCGCTGCTGGAAACACGCGCTGTGTTGGTGCCAAAAGCTCCACGCTGCTTGCAGAGCTCTCCATTTCTCTGCCTTTTGGTTCTTTTTGCCTCCTGACTGTCCGACACACCTGCAACGACACGCAATAGTTTGAGCTGAAACACGTGTCTCTTCAGCACTAACTGCTGTCGGAAGCCGCACTGATTGTAACGATTTTAAATGAAAGAATCGTGTTTTGAAATCCATTTTAATGAGGTTATTGTTTAACCTGTGACTGTCTGAACATCAGCAGCCACAACAAACCAAAAATTATTCATTGATTGATTTCTTATAAAAAGCACTTTTGTGCTTTTCACGCTATCTGCATAACTGGGTCAAAAACTTAATTAATTTATAAAATTTGTTTATAAACAAATGTTGTACATTATTGTTTTTGAAATAAACCTAATGCAAGGTAGGCTCGTTTAGATTATACATTTCAGCAACAGGCAGTTAAATGTGCTTTACAGGTTAAAAACATAAAACAACACTTAAGCAACAAATATAACATTTTCTCAAATGTCATAAAAATAATCAAAAATCCTCAACATACAATACTGGAATGAAGACCAGAATTAATGAATGCTCCAGTCATTATTAATAAGAGTCAACTATACCTGGATTTTAACGTTGATTTAAATGAACTCAGTGTTTTATTATCATTATTATTACGTGCTTGTGCAGTTTATTACAGATTAGTGACGTATGATGTCCGACCTGTTAGGATTTTTTATTTGTTTTGTTTTGCAGTAACTTGGGTTAATTTTTGCAGCCTCTTTGTAACACGAGAAAATCCACGCAAGCAGCATCTGCAAAGTTGCC